GAAGTCAGAAGATTTCCCAGACACTGTTATTAACCAATAACTATTATACTGGTCGGTTTTGCTAGTCCTTTTCCTATGGCACATTACCCACATGGAGCTGGAAGAAAGCAGGAACCAGATTACAGACACAGAAAGGAATTGTCCTTCTTTTAAGCTAGCGCCAGTCTGCTGACTTCCAGGGTGTTACTCCTGTTTTACTCTAGTAGAGAAGGAAAATCAAGCCACCGAATGTCCCAAACAGCAATGCCACCTGGTCTTCTAGTTGCTCGGCTCAAGCCTGCTAAATTCAATCTGAGAGGTTAAGGAAGGCTGTAGAAGTGGGAGCATAGGAGTCACGGTGACTCCTGGTGCAAGGGGAAGCTGTGACCCACCGTCCCAGCACCCTACCCACAGACAGGAGAGAAGAAGGAAGGTCACCATGGCTTCAGAAGCTGCTGGAAGCGTTACTCCCTCTGCTTTCAAAAGCTGGGTACCATTGCTTTTGCCTTCATGCCTCTTGACCGTACACCACTGCTTTGTTATTATTTTTATTTCCTGATGTCCTCCTACCCATCAAAACCTACTTCCCATTGCAACACTGCACCGTACTCCTTTTGGAAACTCAGAACAAGCAAGCCTTTGTCTCAGCCTGCCTTCCACAGAAGACACCCAGCCATGTAATGAAAGCTTCACAAAAATCCCAACCGTGCATCATTTACAACTGATTTGTTTAGCTTCTTTAAAAAAAACAAAAACAATTGCCCATCTCAATATTGGGATACCTCTACAGAAACCAGAGATTCACAGTACTTTCAACACTTAGTTCCCTATCCAAACGCATTCTGGTCTAATGCTCAAAACCACTTCAGCACAAAGCATATCCTTGCCCATAAATCATTAGAGCTGTCTGTTATTCATGAACATGCCTAGGAGGGATTTACAACTGGGTCCAGGGATAAACCTCAGGTACTAATGAATATGGGCAGGGAATCTTTTACTTTCTCAGAAAAACTGAGTTGTAAGGAGTAACAGGACAATAAAATGGTGAAAAATTGAAAATTACTGGAAAAGGATGCATCTACCAAGAGGTGCTCACTGCTTTACATATGCATAAGCAAGGCCATAGGAAGTGTGGGAAGAGCTGGTTGCACACTCAGGTAGTACGACAGACGCAGCAACACAAACCCAGCTCAGGGTGAATCGGCGTTCAGTCTGAGCATGCAGCCAACTGAACAGACTTGGAAAAGAAGCTTGCATTCTTCTCAAAAAGGATCTTAACAACGGTTTGAAAAAATAAATACAGCCAACGCATGTACTGGTATGAACAAAGCCATCCTGCATTCACCAGAAATCAGAGCCCAGGCAGAGTCCTCACGTGCCGGAGATAAGAGTTACCCAGGTACCAGGCTGTGGTCCATAACCCCGCTGTAAAGTCTGACTCCATCTCGAACACTGAGCTAGCTGTTAAAACACCACACATCAGCTGCGGGAGCAGAAGCCGGAGGCAACCCACATCAAAACAGGCTTCCTAGGAGATCTACAATGTTTACTTGGAAGTGAATGGCAAGTGTTGGTTCATTTGGGATATCAGTTTCATCGTAACAGCCCAGGTGAATGCTCCAGTCCACAATCTTTTTGGGAAAAGGCTTTGCTTGGGTCAAGTGAAATGGCTTTTTTATCAAATATCAAAAGCATTTCTCAAAACCTATCTCCCAACAAAATTCAGAACTTTTTAATTTCTCCTTTCTCTGGATGTTTTCAGAATTTATTTTTTTTATAAAATCCTGTTTGGTCCCTGACCAAAATACACTTTTTGGGGTTTGTTTCTTTTCAAACACAGCGCTGGCTTTGTCCCCAACTCCCCCACATACACCCTCCTGTTTGGAACTTAATTGTGCTTCCGTTGCCAGTGGCGTAGGAGGAGTACAATGTAACTCCAGTTACTGAGTTGCTCCTCATTTACAGATATGTCAAAGGAATCAGAATAGGACAAAGATACTATGACGGTAATATTTTTAAAAAATGACTATATGGGGATGTTAATGTAATTTTCAGAGTCTCTACCTGACATTTTCCAGGAAATTAATTCTGTCAATGTCGGCTTCTACACATCTGATATCAATGAAAAATATTTAGAAACTCTTAAATATACATGTTAAGCAGCTCCACTTTGGAAAAGGAAAGAAGATATTTTCTTACACAAGTACAGTGGATTTTGATTCTTACTCAGGTCAAATACAGTGAAACTGGAAAATCCAAGTCCTCAAGTTTTTGCTACATTGCACCATGCAAAGTTAACGCAAAAAATAAAACGTTCACCATAAAACACAGTCATGCAAAACAGCCTCAGCTTAAGAAAATTTCTCACTTTTTAAGATTCTCTGTTTCTTTCTTACAAACAAGTCTGCTGGCTCTTTTACTCCTCAGACCGATCTTGGTAACCAAAAGGGGTTCTGCTGCCAGAATGTAGATTCAAATGCTAGGTTTCCTAATGAAGCAGTAACTTCAATACGTGGATAATGCATCAGCATGCAAAAGGGAAAGTTTTATTCAGCATAGCATAGGCTCTTCTTTCATGAAAAGGAGAGCAGGTTTCATGCATTTGATTAATAAGCTTATTATTTCCCATGTGTTGCTTTGTGAGGGAGATATTTTCTTTCTTCAGCAACCTGCATTAACCAAAACAGACTATAAAAGAAATGTTTTCAAATCCAAGCTACAGTCCACAATAAATAATGATCGCTTTCCTCTTTTCAAAGTCAAATCTTGGCCTGAAATCTATTTTGTTCCTAACATTCCTGTTTAAAAAAAAGATGTTGGTGGTCTAGTTCCAATGCCAATACGCACTGTAGCATGGGTAAATCTGATGTCAGCTGCTCCTGCAGTCTTAACTGCATCTGCAAACCTACCCATTTGTACAAAAAAAAAAAAAAAAAAAAAAAAAGAGAAAGGATAAAGCAATGCAGATGTAATTCTTCCACTGAAGTCTTTGAGAGATTACGTTATAATAAGGTCAGGAGAAAATATATGCAATTTCCCATCATTTGTCATGTTCACTCTAAGCAAGTGGACTTTGATTTGCTATAACTGAAAACTTTCAAAAACAATCATTATAAGCATGAAAGGCAACACAACGACAAAGGATGTTCTCATAGTTACTTCTCCTTAGGAGGGTCAAGAACTTAACAGCATTTTTATTCATTTCAGAATGAACAAGCTGTCATTTTTTTTTTCACAGCTATGGGAAAAATAAGAAGTTCTCATGAAGAGAAATATCTTTCCGTCCAGCCCATAGATTAGATAACCGAGTTAAAAGCAAATCTACAACCAAATTCTAATTTAGGAAGTAAAAGCAGATCTGCTCTATGACATTACAGTGTCAGAACTGCAGAAACCTCTGTGGCACTTCCATTGTTTCACATCTAGAGGAATAACTGGTGAGTCCTTACCATTCTCATCCACCCACCAGAAGACTCTCCTTCAAAGTACTACACATAAGAGTCCTACAGAGACCAGCTTTAGAGCTGAGCTATTCTCTTCCTCAGTAATGATATATGATGCTCAGCAAACTCCTCAAGTAAATGCCTGCGTTTCCGCCAGGAGTTGACTATAAAAGTCACAATCTTTCAATAATCCAAACCACAAGCAGGTAGAGCAGAATGTTCCCAACAAGAGCAACTTGGCACACAGCCCTTCCCC